TTTATTGTTAATCCACCTAAATGTTTCCTCGTTTTGTTAATCTTTTCAAAGAACTTATTTTTTTCATTGATTTTCTTTATTTTTTATTCTCTTTTATTAAATTTAACTATATTATTTTCTTCCTTCTGCTTGGTTTTGTATTGCTTACTCCTCTTTTTTTAGTGTCTTAAGGTAAAAAATTCAGTTATTGATTTGAGATTTTTTTTTATTTTTTAGTATAGGTGTTTGCAGCTATAATTTTCCTCTCAGTACTTCTTTAGCTGCAACCCATAAGTTTAGGTATAGTGTGTCTTTATTTTCACTTATCTAAAAGTATCTTTTATTTCCCTTGTGATTTCTTTTTTGACCCATTGATTAATTAGGAGTGTTTTTGAATATTTGTAAATTTCTCAAATATCTTTGTACTATTGATTTCTAATTTATTATTATTAAATTTCTAATTTATAAATGTGTTCAGAGAACACATTTTGTATGATATAAATCATTTAAATCTAGAGGCTCATTTTATGAATTAATATATGTTCCATTCCAAAGAATGTTCTAAGTGTGCTTAAGAAAAGCATAAATTCTGCTGTTGCTGGGTAGATTATTTCATAAATATTTATTAGTTCTAGTTGCCCTACAGTATTGTCTCTCAGTTTTTCATTTTCTTCCCAGTCATTCCTCTCTTTGTTGAATGTAGGATATTTAAGTCTCCATCCATTATAGTTGAATTATTTCTCTCTTCATTTCTGTCATTTTGTGCTTTATGTATCTTGGGACCCAGTTTTTAATTGCATATGCATTTATAATTGTTATATCTTTCTTATGAGTTGATCTTTATATCATTATAAAATATCCCTCCTTATCTCTAGATATATTTTATATTTTGTCTGATCTTAGTTTAGCTGCTCTAGCTTTCTTATGGTTGCCGTTTGCATGATGTATCTTTTTCCATCCTTTTACTTCCAATCTAATTATATATTTGAATCTAAAATAGTCTCCTGTAGACAGCTGAATCTTGATTTTAATCTAGCCTAACATTCTCTGCCTTTGATTGTATTGTTTAATCCATGCACTTTTAATTATATTATTGATATAGTTAGATTTATATCTGCCATTTTACTTTTTTTCTGTGTCTCCTGTCTTTTGTATTCCTCTATTTCTCTTCTACTACTTTGTCTTTGGATTAAGTAAATATTTTCTAGTGTAACGTTTTAATATCTTTAGTGATTTTTGAGTTACTTTCCTAGTAGTAAGTTTAGGACATACACATCTTATCTTACCAGAATCTACTTATAACTTATGCCAACTTAATTCTAATGAGCTATAGAAAGATTACTTCCATGTAACTCTTTACTTGTTAAATATCTCTCTACATTGTCTATTTCATCTTGAGTCATCTTCCCCTTTTTCCTTTCTGTGCTATTATTGTTAAACATGTTGCATGTATGTTACAATTTCAATGGCATGTTGTCATAATTATTACTTTATATTATTTTATGTCTTTTAAAGAAGATGAGAGAAGAGCACGTTTATGTTTATAGCTTTTGTTATATTAACCTTCATATTTACCATTTATTTTCATTTGTTCTGAATAAGACCTTTCTCAGCTACATCTAAACAATGTCAGCCAAAAGAACAGAGACAAGGCTCTGTGGATGGTCTTCAGATTGTACCTGGCAAAACTAAGGATTGCTATACACATTGTAGTGGATTTGTATGTTTATGTTGATAAGTTATTGACAAATGGACAGAAATGTCTTGTTCAATGATTTCAATATGTTTTAACAATTTTCTGGAGGCTGTAAGTAAAGTGTCTAGAAGAAGAGGTCCTTTTCTCAATTATACAAAAGTGGAGTGCTGGCCCCATAAGAATCTGGAATTAAGAGGTTGTGTGCTGCTCTGGCCTCAACCTGTCAAAAGAGACCTAGCAAATAAAAGTAAATTGGATTTCATGCCTATCTCTTAACAAGCCTTTAGCATTCAACTGGCCTCAGCAATTCTCAGACAAGTCATACTTGTTCTCAGACAAGTCATATATGGCCTCTTCGACAGAGGACAGGCAGAAGAGCCCGATATGTAAATCCTAGAAGTGGCAGAGAGGACATGAGGTCCCACGACATTTGGGCACTTCCCTTTACATGGTGATCACACCCATGTGTAAAGCTCAGTGAATCCGAGGCTCTGATCAACCAGTTGAACTCTCTCTTCTCTTCTCACACTTGCCAGCTTATTTTTCTTAATCCATTGTTCAACGAAAGCTGTGATTGTTCTTCTCAGAACAAGAGACCAGAGTAGCATATCAAGAGAACTCTGCTCCCACTGAGGAAGACCATTTTCTCAGCTTTTGCCACAGCTTTTGGGGGCATCCGTCCCAAAGATGGCAAAGTGGAAAAGTTCTTTTTTTTTTTTTTGTATTCAAGAACATTAGAAATAGGTAGCAGGGTATTAATGTACTTAAAGGTGCTCTATGGCATATGAAGTACCCAGAAAGTTTCATAACAGCTAAGCCGTAAGTGTTGTTTCTTTACTTTTTCACTTTGCTGGGAGCATTACACCTTGCAGGTCATGGACTGTCTATTATTTATCAAAGTAGATTATTTTATATCCCTCTTATGTTCATTTATTACTAGGCGATTTCTATGCTCTCCTAAAGCTCAGTGATTTACAGCTTTGTCCAGTAGAACTTACCATGATATAAAATATTCTGAATCTCCAACATCAGGGCCAATAGTTCTCCAGGGGTACCGATCACTTGAGAAACTGAATTTTTAAATTTTCATCCATTTATATTTAATTTTAAACAGTTTCAGCTAGAGGCTCTCAAATTGAACAGTGGAGTTATCTTAGATATCCCCTTCCTTAATATTGTGTGCTTAAACTTTGTAAGATAGATAAAAGGGAAGAATCTTCAAATCTAAAACCCATGGAATGGGCCATGGGAATATTTTTTAAAGAAGCTGTCATATATTGATCAGCCTCCTGAAAATTCAAATGCAAACTGACAAAGACCTGGTACAAACACAGCAGCATTGGGGGGCCACAGCCAAGAAACAGGAAGTGCACAAAGTAACCCCCTTACCTCATCTGCTTAGGCCACAGAGGAGGACCTGTCCTCTGAATTTCCATCTCACTGAAGCTCCGCAAGCAGCAAAAGGGGGAACCACCTGTTTCGGTCATGGGAAACAAAGAAAAGAAAAGAAGAAATCTTCAAAGCTACAAATAGGAACATTTACTTTATGCAGATAGCGGTTGGGCGAAAGAAATGAAATTCATGACACTCTCCATAGTACTTTTCAAAGAGTGAACCTGTAAAAGTTTGTATGGACTCGCAGAATCTTCCCTAGTTGTCTTTGAAGTAGGGAGACAGAGGATCCTATTATTCTCACTTTTCAGTAAGGCATACCTTTCATTGTTTTCCCAATACATGTTTTTCAGATATATATTGATGAAAGCCAAACTGCTTGTTACAGATAAAACAGACATAAACAAAATCTCTCTCCCTGGTTAATAAAGCATGAAAGTGACAGAGAATTTTGTTTTTGTTTTTAAGAAATGTAGATGTTTAACTTCAAATCAGCATATGTTAATATCCATTAACATACTAATGCATACAGTAACAACATGTACTGTGATTTAATTGTCACAAATAATGCACTAACTTATTCCAGCTGCTTCAAACTTTTTTTTTTTTTTGAGTTGGAGTCTCACTCTGTCGCCCAGACTGGAGGGAAGTGGCAGGCTCCCGGCCACCACAGCCTCCACCTGCTGGGCTGAGGAGATCCTTCCACCTCAGCCCTTCAAGTAGCTGAAACTACAGGCATGCGCAACCACGCCTGGTTAATTTTTGATTTCTTGTAGAGATGAGGTCTCGAACCCATGGACTCAGGCAATCCACTCGCCTCAGCCTCCCAAAGTGCTGGGATTACAGGCTGAACCACCCACCGAGCCTGGCCCAAACATTTTGTAAAACTTCTGTTACCATTTCAATACAACAAAAACCTCCACTCCAAAACCTTCAACATTTATTTCACTTTCTCTGGGCCCATGTCAGTGGTATAATCAGAAACAAAATAAAAAATTATAATGTTCATTCCCAACCCATCATGGAATGAAAAGTATCTCTTTAACTGAACCTTTTTTTTTTTTAAGTTGGAGTGTCACTGTCACCCAGGCTGGAGTGCAGTGGCACGCTCACAGCCACCATAGCTTCGACCTGCTGGACTCAGGTGATCCTTCCACTTCAGCCTTCCAAGTAGCTGGATCCACAGGTGTGTGCCACCATGCCCAGCTAATTTTTTGATTTATTGTAGAGACAAGGTCTCGCCAAGTTGCCCAGGCTGATCTCAAACCCTGGGTTCAGGCAATCCTCTCACCTCTGTCTCTCAAAGTGCTGAGATTACAGGTGTGAGCCACCATGCCCAGCTAATTTTTTGATTTATTGTAGAGATGCAGTCTCGCCAAGTTGCCCAGGCTGATCTCGAACCCTGGGCTCAGGCATTCCTCTCACCCCTGCCTCCCAAAGTGCTGGGATTACAGGTGTGAGTCACCATGCGCAGTTTAAATGGATCTTTTTTTTTTTCCTCTCTAAGAAAAAAAAAAAACACTCTGCAAAGAAAAAAGTTAAAAGTCAAGTTAGGGCCAGGCATGGTGACTCAAGCCTATAATCCCAGCACTTTGGGAGGCCGAGGCGAGAGGGTTGCCAGAGCCCACGGGTTTGAGATCAGCCTGGGCAACATGGTGAGACCTTGTCTCTACAATAAATCAAAAATTAGCCAGGTGTGGTAGCGTGCACCTGTAGTTCCAGCTACTTAAGGCCGAGGCAGAAGAATCGCCAGAGCCCAGCAGATTGAAGCTGCGGTGGCCGGGAGCGTGCCACTACCCTCCCGCCTGGGCGACAGAGTGAGACTCCAACTCTAAAAAAAAAGTCACATTAGCTTGATGTTGTGAATAAGAACGGCCACAGGTGAATTTAAATTTCTTACAAGTAAACTAATGCCTCTTCCATTTGTCCCCAGGTCATAGATCTTTACTGGGGAGTTGATGAAGATGACTGGGACGACCCAGAGCTCCAGAAGACCCGCATGAAGCTGCTGGAAGATTGCTTGAAAACTTCTGCAGGTCCATGTTTTGTTGTGGGTATAAAAAAACTAATGCTTTATATTAAATTGTAGATGAATGTGAGCATTTTTGCTGATTTGTGATTCTTAAGGGACTTTTAAAGTGGGGACAAAAGACTTTCTTCTTTTATGTCTATTTAAAATTTTTAAACTGTCTTGTTGCCCTCAATGTGTGAGAACAGAAACTTCTTCAGCTCTCCTTAAGAAGTGCTGCAAATTAACGGTGAATAACTTGAAATGGTAATTGAACTGGTTTTGACAGCTATTTCTACAACACCTTGTGATCCAGTAAGGATGACTTTTTCAGTCCTACGATAATTATCAAGTTTTTCTTATCCTATTGTATAATGTATTCTGTAGTGTTTCTATATCTCCACATTAGAATTCCTGGCATCTCTTTTAACACAGTGGCTGAAACACTGTTGAAGTAAACCAAATATACTATGTCAAATCTGCCAGTAGCAAATGGTGCCCTGTGAAAAAGTTTGTTTCTGTAGTGATTTTTTTTTCAGCTAGATGCTCATTATAAGCTACACATCAACAGAGATTTTTCAAGTGGAACATTATTATTAGTTCATCATTATTTTCCAAAAAATACCAGCTTCTCTATGGAAGCACAGTAGTAGGAAGACAAGTAGGTCAGTCAATGGCAGGTGATAGTGCAAAATCACTGCCTTAATTTAACTTAAGAAAGAGATTTATCTTGAATACAAACAGATCCTACCAATTAATAAGGAAGCCACTTTGAATATAGGATGCTCTGAGACTGATGGATGAGTGCTAAAATTAGAAGTGAGTGCTATTAAAAAAAAGAATCGGATCATTCCGTTAAAAGCTAGGTTGAATGTATCAACAAAAGGGTTTTTAATATTTCTCTGCATATCCAGCAATATTAATCCTACAAAGATGATATCAGAAATCTGATCAGCTAATGGTAAATTTCTTACCCAGGATAATAAACAACATAAAAGCTTTATAATGTAACATTTTTAGGGTTTCCTGTATGGATAAATTATTCATTTATTCATCAATTACTTCTTGAATGCTACTCCATGCCAAGGGCTACTCTTAGTGTTGGGGTCATGGTAGGTTGACCCATATGAAATTGTCGTTTACAGGCCAGTTTCTTATGATTTGACATTAGAATTGTACTAAGAAGATAAAAATTTTTGCCCTCATGGAGCTTACATTTTTATGCGGATGGAGGAAGGAGAAGAGAGGCAAAACACAAAGAAAGAACCAACCTAAACAATAAGTTGGATAGTGAAAAGTGCTGTGGAGAAAAATATACAGAATGGAAAGAGGAGAGAAAATACCAGCTAAGGGAGAGGTTTGCCACTATCAGTAGAGTCATTGGAGAAGGCCTCACTGATAAGGTGACTTTGGAGGGAGATGGTAAGAAACGTGGGAAAGAACCAAGTGGATATTCCCAGTCAGAAAATTCTAGGAAGAGGGGTGGACATGGGCTGGGCATGTTCCAGGACAGCCAGCAGGCCAGTATGCCAGCAAGCATGTGTTGGGGAAGGATGTGAGAGAGGGTCATATCATGGGCTTCATAATTTTTTTTTTTTTTTTTGAGTTGGAGTCTCACTCAGTCGCCCAGACTGGAGTGCAGTGGCCGCTTCCGGCCACTGCAGCCTCGACCTGCTGGGCTCCGGCGATCCTTCCGCCTCAGCCTTCCGAGTAGCCGGAATTACAGGCGCGCACTACCACGCTCGGCTGATTTTTTGATTTATTGTAGAGATGAGGTCTCGCTGCCCAGGAGGGTCTCGAACCCGCGGGCTCAGGCAATCCGCTCACCTCAGCCTCCCGAAGGCACGGGATTACAGGCTGAGCCACCGAGCCCGGCTTCATAATTTTTTTTTTTTAAGAGAAAGAATATTATTAGGACTCTGCATAGTTGGGAACCATCCATTTTGGCTTTTTTATTTTTATTTTAAAGATTCTGGGTACAATTCAGGATTAGGTATATAAGTCGACATCATACAGGTAAAGTTTGGGCCTCCCTTTGGTCCCCACTTGTCTGGTTTGAGATCAGGTACCCTTATTGATGTTGTCCTCCCCCCCACACACACACCCTGGCAGTATCCCACTACAGCCAATCCCTTTCTTATAGTATTATGTCAAATGTTCAGGGTCCATTTATGAGTGAGACCATGTGGTACTCTGTTTCTGTGATAGATCCTGAGTATTATAGACTCTAAATCCATCTAAGTTGCTGCAAAGTCCATATGTTTGTCTTTCTTTATGACTGCATAATATTCCATTGTGTATATGTACCACATTTTTCTTCCAGTCCAATTTCAGTGACTAACATGGTTGGGTCCATGTTTTTGCTATTGTAAATAGTACTGCAATAAACATGTGTGTGCAGGTATCTTTTTTGTAGAATGATTTGAGTCCCTCTGGGTATATTCCCAATAGGGGGATTGCTGGGTCATATGGAAAGTCAATTTCTAGTTCTTTTAGAAATCCCCACATGGTTTTCCACAGAAGCTGAACTAGTTTGCATTCCCACCAGCAGTGTAGAAGCAGAGAACGATCCATTTTGGAAAGGTGATTTCAGGAAGACAATTCTATAAGCTTGAAGTTGACTCTAAAAATTTCACGTTTATTCTGAAAAAAATAAGAGAAGCCAGGGAAGTGTTTTAAGCCGAGAAACAAAGTGATTCGACCCTCGTTTTAAGGACTGCCTTGGCTGCTGGGTACAAGATAAGGACAAAGCAGACAGACCTTCAGAGAGTTACTGCAATAAGCTACACAAGAAAGATGCGTGGTTTAGAGGGTTTGGCAAATGAACTTCTGAAAAGAATACCAAAAGGCCCTAAAGCCACGTTGAGTATCAGAAGAGAGAATAGTGTAAGAGGAATTGAGACTTTCCATATGTCCTCAGAGGATTGAATTAGGAAGCAGATATCAGCTCTGGGAGAAGAAATTGAAGGATATAGCTTTCCCTGAGATTTGAGGGTCAAATACCCCTGGGTTCTCACTCTGACATGTCATAGCTGTACGGTGCTGGAGGAGTTACTTCTAACTATTCTAAGTTACTATTCTAAGTCTTAGTTTTTTGTTTGCTTTTACCTGTAAAATGGAGGTGATAATAATACTTATCTACCTCACGGGTCATTCCGAGGATCAAATGAAATTACAGGGCGCTTGAATAGTGTCCCACAGAGTAACCCACCATAAGTGTGAGCTTTTCATTGTTGTTATTATCATTATTATCTATCAAAGTTGTCTAAAGATGAAATCACCTGGCTCAAACTGTAATGAGTACATCACCAGCAAACTTGTCAGTAAAGTAAAGAGCACAAGCCACTCTGGCAGGGGAGCCAGAGAAGAGATTCAAATCTTGGAAGACTGGTTAGGCTAGATTCCAACACACTTGGAAAGTCAGGTTTGGGAAGCAATCACACTGTGGGTGTGCCCTGAAGAATGTTGTTGCTGTGATCTCCATAGCTCTATCTTAATCCAGCCTCAGAAATTCAGGAATGAGAGAGGCATTCTCCCTCTAAAAGGTATATAACACCGTGTAGAGTGTCATAGCTAAACTAACTAAAACTGGTCATAGCTGTCCTTTTCAGTAATTACTGGTAAGATAATTAAAAATTTAAAGACTTTCAAACTTATGCAGGTTCTGAGAGTAAAGGTTAACTGATAGAACTCAGCAGGAATATCTTTATTGGACATAAACTTATCTTTATTGAACATATATCCCTCCTTTCACACCCCTGATATATGTTTAAACTCAGGACAACCACGACGAAAGTCTGCAGATACAGCTAGGATTATTCACCCTGGTGATCCTAAATCACACAAGGCTTATATCTCACTGCTTATAAAAAAAAAAGTATGTCTGTATGGCCTTTCCTGTTGTAACTATGGTAACAGCCAGTGTGTGTGTCACTTTTGAGCTCCAGTTTCCCTGCCCAATGCTCTCTTGTGATATTTCTAGAAGTCATGGTGACCCCTGTGGGATGCAAAGCTTGGCATAATACTTCCCCTCATGCTAAAGTCTTTGACAAATCACCACTGCTCAATGAAAAAATGATGTTTTTATATCTTCAAAGCCTTTGCTGATATTAACCTTTATGTTTGATACCAAAAAAAAATGAAGCTTTCATTTAAAATACCCAGTGAACTTCAATATTGTATATGCTTGGCTCTTGCAACTTCATGTCCTAAAAGTTGTCATGTAGATATGGCCTGAGCTTCCACTGACATGCAGGCTGGGCTCTAATCCTGGATAGCTGTTTTGCACACATGTTTTTGGTCACCGAAGAATAGGATGTGGGAGTGAGGGGCCTGGACATACATGTGGTTCTCTTCTCAGTGTACCAGCTCAGAAGACAGATTGTAAAAAACACATCATTTCACCAAGGAGGAACAGCAAATACAGTGTAAAAAACCCAGGGTTTTCTTTTTCTTTTTTTTTTTTTTAGTTGGAGTCTCACTCTGTCGCCCAGACTGGGCGTGCAGTGGGCCGCTCCCAGCCACTGCAACCTCGACCTGCTGGGCTCTGGCAATCCCTTCCACCTCAGCCTTC